TTTCTTTATTACTCAGGTAGAAGTCAGAACTGGAGGTCAAGACTGGGTGAATACCAGTGTATTTGTGACCAGAATAGATTTGCAAGTGTTATTTATGACAAGAACATGAAGATAGGTAGGATGTTATTCTAGGCACCACACATTAAAGAGATAGTTGACATCAAAAGATGTCAATCTATTACCACCATGCAGGTTCTATGCCAGGCAGAATTGGCCAAGAAGAATTTTTAAGAGCCAGAGCAATCTGGGCAGTAGAGACAAGCTGTACAAATTATACATGAGATATGATATACTCTATCTACTTTAGAAGACCTAGAACACACTAGAAAGAAAAGAAGCCTTGCCATTTGGCAAGTGGAAATTGTAAGTCTAGTGGTATTAGGAAAGCATCAAAAGCATCCATACATAAAATCCATAAGTAAGTGGTAACTAGGCAATCATGTGAGTATATTTACATTTTATAAAATGAATTTTGAAAATCTTACTAATGTTGGTAAGAGACATGATATAAATGCTGTCATTAAGCAAAGAGGATGAGCAACACATACAGATTGTAGTTTGGGTCCATATTTAGAACTGCTGATCAGCTATATTCCATATTTAGCTGTGCAGTTCCAAGGTATCTATGCCATTTTTGTACATTCATTCTTGCTTTCCTTGTTTACTTTAGCAACCTTTAGTTTAGCAGCCTTCTCTGGATACTTCACTTTGATTTGTCCTTGAATAGATCACAGGTTCTACGTGGACATTTTGTGTGTGCTACAGACAAGTTTTATTTTGTATGACTATTGTATCATTTAATTATTTAACAGCATTGTCTTTTCATGGCCAAATGTAGGGCTTTGAAGGAGTTTATATTCATTTTGATGTTCTGAAAAATTATGTGATGTTCACTTGGTATTTTACTCCTTAGGGATCTCCCTTCATTTAGAGGAAAGATGAGTTGGAGGAAGATAAGAGAAGGAAGAGACAGAAACTATTACATTTTAAATTTCCATTTGAGGACTTACAAAAATATCAAAGAAACTAATTCCATATCTGAAAATGAACAGGTTCAACCCACACTAAAATCCTGATTTGGAAAAATACACTGAGTTTTAACTTCAAAATGGGGTCAGCATTTTTATAGGATTTACTAAATGGTCTTTTTGGTACTATTACTTGGTCCTCCTCTTTCTTCTTCCCTTTCCTCATCTTATTCTTCTCCTTCTCCTGCTCTAGATTTTTCTCCTTTCATTTGCTCCATCTTTTCTTCTTCCTCCTCCATTTGTAGCTAGATCTGACAATTGTTTATTTTAGAGAAAAAAGGCACAGAGAAGAAAAAAAATAACTAAAAAAGACAAATAAACAACAACAAACCCCAAACAATGGCAGTATAGGTTTACAAAACAAGATGATAGGAATTTGATGATGGTAGTAGTATTGCATATTGTTACCTTCAAAAGGGTTGCTTAGAGTATCAGATATAGACATGTAAAATTGATGTAATCATATGAGCATTAACTGTTTTCTTCCAAGAACCAATATAAGTAGTAGCTTAATCATTTTTGCTATCTTATGTGTGTGTGTGTATATATATGTTTATGTCTTTTTTTTTCTTTTCCTTCTTTTGTCCTTTTCCCTATCTCAATTATTTTTCCTCTTTGAGTAGTTTTTACCCTTACACAGTATTTATTATAGATTTTGGTTCATATATATTCTTCAAGGTTCTTACAATAGGGAGATAATGTGGTATTTACACATGTGAGTTTATTTAATTTATGAGTATGGTCTCAAGTCATGTCCATTTACTTATAAAAGTCTCGATGCAATCTTTCTTTATAGTTGAGTAGTACTCCATTGTATAAAAATAGCACATGTTTTTTATCCATTCCTTCACTGAAGGGCAGTTGAGTTGTTTCCAAGATCTGGCTATTACAAATTGTGCTGCTGTAAACATGGGTGCACATATATCACTGTGGTATGATGTTTCCTATTGACAATTGTTCATTGAGAGCTTTCTCTGTGCCAGGATCTGGAGATGTAGTCAGTAAATACAACTGCAGAAAATCCCTAGAGATAGTTGTTGTTTCATTTTACATATAAAGGTGAAAATCCAGTATGATTAATGAGTGGCAGAATCCAGGACTACAGTTTGGGTCTATCCATTACTCTTCCATTGTGCTCCAGACCAGAACTTCTGTGCTACTATAATGCAGCACCACAGACAGAGTGGTTTATAATGAACAGCAATTTATTGACTCATAGTTTTGACAGCTGGGAAGTCTGAGATAGATGGATAGAGATGTTAGTTTGTGATAAGAACTTTCTAGCTGTATTAGCCCATGTCAAAGCACAAAGAGGAAGGGAAGAAGAGAAGGAGAGAGAGAAAGAATAATGAGGGGGAGAAGAGGAAGAAGAGAATAAAAAGAAGAAAAGAGAGGATAGGAAGAAGAAGAATAAAGGAGAGAAGACCAAAGAGGAAAGGGAACAAATGTAAGAGAACACATAAGTGACTTCATGGATGAAAAAGAGACCAACTGTTGTTTTAAAGACACCTATTATCTTCATAATAGAATTAATGTATTCATATGGGCAGAGTCCTTGTGTACTGATCACTTCTCACTGGCCCTAAATTCCTACATTATTTCAATACTCCAGCTTTGGGGCACACTTTCAAACCACCACATCTTCAGGATGTAATGTTTGCATAAACCTCATAGGGGTTCTTAAACTGTAGATTCTAATGTATCTATTTCAGGTCTGAAGTGGAGTGTGAGATTCTTCTGTTTAACAAGCTTTCAAAGCTGATGTTGTTTGTTCCTGAGCTACACCATGAGCAGCAAGGTTATAACAGCTTTCATTTGAAGTGTGACAAAGATCTTCTATAATGACAAGTGATGGTAGAACTATTTATACATGTATCAGTTTGCTTATTCAGTATTTTGCTTCTTGATTAATCTTAATGTCATCTTCTTGACAATTATCAAAGATGATAGTTGTCTATACACTGATATAAGTGTATTTGTATGATCTGACAAATGCATATCTTTTTTATTTTAAACAAAAAAGAATAAAAATGGTGATACAGAATTTCAAAACAAAGTAACAAGAGGTTAACGATAGTTAATATATTTTTTTATTGTTATCTTCAAAGTAGTTGCTCAAGGGAGCTGGGAAGATGGCAGACCAATAAGCAGCAAAATAAAAAGCCTCTTTGATTAAAACAGCTCAGATGCTGGAATAAAACATCCTGGAGAGGACCAGATAGAAGGAGATAGATCCTCTCAAACTCAGGAAGAAACTAAAGGGGAAAAAGAAAAAAATAAAGAAAAAATAAAAAGAAAAGAAAATCATGGGTGAAAGACATGCTCTCACCAGAGCTGGTCCAATTGTGTACAAAATGTCACTGGAATCCAAAGACATGAGGTCACAGGAAGTTGGGGGTTGACAAGGCTGTGGATGTGGAGGGTGTGGTCGCAGAAAGGAGCAGTGGAATGGAGAGCAACATTCGGCTTGGAGATCTATACTGGCTTGCAGTGAGTATGGGGAAATCAGTCCTCCTGTTGGGAGTGGGCAACTGGCCAGGCAACATTTTGGAGTCAGGCAAGATAAGCCCAGAATCAGAACTGCAGCGGCTTCAGTCAGCTACTCCTAGCACAGAGCAGATTGGTGAGAAATGCTTGGACTGAGTCCCGTCTCTCTGTGCAATCCAATAGCCTAGGATGAGGTCTGACACTACCTAACTGGCCCCATCCGTGCAGCATACACTAATGTGGTGAAGACTTCCAGTGATCAACCAACTCAGAAGGGAGGGGCCAACCTTCCCTGCTTGTACTACAACAGTCACCAGCAGACTGGGGAGGGCAGCAATCCCTAGCCAGCATGCTTCAGAGTAATCATAACCAATACAGGAAGTGCCAGGGACCCCCATTATCTACTCATCCGGAAGAAACCAGAAATGTGACAAGAGGAAGAAACAAAAGAAAGTCTCCAACCCCCAACTCAAATAATACTGGCCCAGGAGAGGTAAACACAGAAGAGATCAGAGGTTGCACACCAGAAAAAGCAGCATCTGCTATAAAGAATTATCTTCATGACATTATAAAAGAACTAAAAACAGAAATTCTAATATAAGTAAAGGAAGATATAAGAAAAATAACAAAAGAAATGCTAATTACCTTTCAAGAAGACACAGATGGAAGAATGGAAGTGCATAGAAAAAGGAGAGAAAACCTTTGATGAGGAATATAAAAAAATCTAAAATACATGAAACAGATTCAAAGAGACTACCAGGAAAATAAAACTCCATTGAAAGCTGGCAAAACTGCTTGAAAGAAACTAAAGATAGACTATCAAACCTTGGAGAAAGGTTTGCAACTTGCGATTGTAAAAGGAAAGATCTCTTAAAAATAACAAGGAACCAGAAAGTAACAATGCAAAGGCTAGATGATGACAAGAGGATCTATAAGTTAAGAATAAAAATACGAGTTAAGAAGCAGGGGTAAACACAAATGAAATATAAAGGCTATTTACAGAAATAATTAAAGAAAATTTCCCAAGCATAGGAAAAGGAAATGATATTGAGATATATTAGGCATACAGAACTCCAGCCAGCTACAACCAAAACAGAGCTACACCCAGACATATAATAATCAAGATCCCAGAAATTCCATGCAAGAACAGAATATTAAGAACTGTCAGAGAAAAGAAACAGATCACCTAAAAGGGAAAACCCTCCAGAATCACAACAGACTTCTTGACACAAACCATCAAATCAAGAAGAGCTTGGAGTGAAGTATTCCAAGCCCTGAAAGAAAATAACATCCAATCCAGAATCATGTACCCTGAAAAATTATCTCTCAAAATTAATGGAGAAACAAGATGCTTCCATTGCAAAGAGGAGCTGGGGGAGTTCGTGACCACCAATCCAACCCTACAAAAAAATACTGGACACTCTAGAGAGAGAGGAAAAATGTCGATGTCGCTCCCGGCCGGCAGGAAAGACACACGACAAGGTCTGGCGGTGGTCAGGCTTTTCTTTATTCTCTCCTTATACAGTCTGCCCCGAAGCCTCTACCGGTCCGCTCTCCGAGGCTCCTTCCGTGCTTCAGTCTGCCCCGAAGCCTCTACCGGTCCGCTCCCCGCGGCTCCTTTTGTGCTTCAGTCTCCCCCGAAGCCTCTACCGGTCCGCTCCCCACGGCTCCTTCCGTGCTTCAGTCTCTCCCGAAGCCTCTACCGGTCCGCTCCCCGCGGCTCCTTTTGTGCTTCAGTCTCCCCCGAAGCCTCTACCGGTCCGCTCCCCGCGGCTCCTTCCGTGCTTCAGTCTCTCTCTCGGGGGTGGAGGCACTGGCTATATATAGGATTAATAGCTAGGCAGACTACCCTGTGAGGCGGGAACTTAGTGGGGTGATAAGAAACAGGTGCCACACAGGCGGGCTCGATGAGAGGGGTAATCTAGCTCAGGCTTTTGTACTTTCCCACAGGCCTCGCAATCACCGCGTCTGATGACTTGACAGTGCCACGGCTCCCAACATCTCCCCCTATTTTATTTTAAATGATGGCTACGCGCATCGCAGCCCGTCCTGGATAGAGTGCAGAGGCCTATGCCCCGAACTGAGGCCCACCGTAGGCCCTTAGCGTAGACCCTGGTCGGCCGTCCCAGGGTCCACCAAGGCCCTGAGGCCCTCGTCCTTTTTTCTAGGGCCAGGAATGAACCGGACGGAACCTGGTTGCACATAGGCATGCACTCATTTCTCTCCACGAATCCCCTCGGAGAGAAATTTATCTAACAATCCAGCGGCTTTCGAGCGGAACGGGGTAGGGCCTGGCTTAGGTTGAGTCGTGCTGGGGAGGCACGCTCTTACCCGTCATTGACTCACCCACCCTGCTACATGTTGTTGTCTAGGGAGGAGAATGTGGGAAGCCTGTCACTTTTAAACGCGGTCGTAGGCCATGCGAGCGAGCCATGCGTATACAAGGGTAGCACATAGGGGAGCAAGCCGTTCCAGGCCCCCAAAAAGGGATTGTCCTGCAGTTCTTTTAGGGCTCATCTTGTTGTTGGGTCTGCGGTTGGCCTCTGGTGGAACAGGCCTGATCTTCAGTCGAGGGACTTGTCGCGTCAACCTCTCTGGGACCCACATTGGCTCTCGTCCCGATTCCTGCGGAAAGACACAAACCGCGCCTCGGCTTCCTCTTTTGTATCTCTGCCCTCCTTGATGGACCCTTCTCGGGAGCTTCCTCACTGTGCCTGTTCAAACACCTCGCGTACTTCTACAAGTTCTTGAGAGCTCCCCCCGTAACTACCCTCACTCTTTAGGCACGCGTGTATCATTTCCCACAATGGACGAGCAGAGACTGAAGCTCTACCCTCCCGTTCTGCTAGGGAAAGGTCTCTGCCCAACTTTTCCCAGGAGGGCAGGTTTACATGCCCTGTAGGCAGAAACCAGGGAGCAAAGCTGTCAATCTCTGCAAGGAAATTTTCTAAAGTCTTACGCCCCACCTTGAGGTCCTTGGACTTTAGGAGTCTCCGAAGGACCAACACCAAGGCTGTGTATCTTTACTTGGCATGTTTCCCATTTTTAATATATCTTCTGTTATTTTTACTTCTATGTTTATGTTTTACACTCTTTTATTACCTTAAGTTCTGGTGTTATGTTTCATACTCACCGCGTGAGGCCCAAGAAACCCGCCACTTACGCGTGAGGTTGAGAGGAGTCTACAAACCCTGTAGGTGCGCGCCACCCAGGGCCCAGGCTTATCCTCTACTCACCTGTCCTGCAGCTGCAGCACTGTGTAGGAGAATGCAGTCCACCGCCGCGTCTCGGGGTTGATCAATCCCCGTGCGGGCCACCAAATGTCGATGTCGCTCCCGGCCGGCAGGAAAGACACACGACAAGGTCTGGCGGTGGTCAGGCTTTTCTTTATTCTCTCCTTATACAGTCTGCCCCGAAGCCTCTACCGGTCCGCTCTCCGCGGCTCCTTCCGTGCTTCAGTCTCTCTACAGTCTGTCCCGAAGCCTCTACCGGTCCGCTCCCCGCGGCTCCTTTTGTGCTTCAGTCTCCCCCGAAGCCTCTACCGGTCCGCTCCCCGCGGCTCCTTCCGTGCTTCAGTCTCTCCCGAAGCCTCTACCGGTCCGCTCCCCGCGGCTCCTTTTGTGCTTCAGTCTCCCCCGAAGCCTCTACCGGTCCGCTCCCCGCGGCTCCTTCCGTGCTTCAGTCTCTCTCTCGGGGGTGGAGGCACTGGCTATATATAGGATTAATAGCTAGGCAGACTACCCTGTGAGGCGGGAACTTAGTGGGGTGATAAGAAACAGGTGCCACACAGGCGGGCTCGATGAGAGGGGTAATCTAGCTCAGGCTTTTGTACTTTCCCACAGGCCTCGCAATCACCGCGTCTGATGACTTGACAGTGCCACGGCTCCCAACAGAAAAAAATCCATGGTTTCACGAACAGTGACAGAGGAGGCTTACTGAATGGGGCAGACAGTGAAATAAAGTAGACAACCAATGACAGAAAAATAGCATGGCAGAGATGAGGCAGAGAAGATTGGCTGTAATTGCTAACATGGATGATCTTGATACACTAATAAAAAGAGACACAGAGAGAGTGGATCAGAAGACAGGGACTATCAAGATGCTCTATATAAGAAATATATTTAACCTGAAAGAGGGTTTATGGACTGAAAGTCAAAGAGGAAAAATAATGCTCTATGTGACAGGGAATCAAAGAAATTGGGGGTAGCTCACCCTTCAGCTGCAGATTGGTTGGAAAGATGTAACATTTTTATACAATCGAGAACTACTCAGTTATAAGGAAGGAAAACCTTGAGGCCATTGTAGGTAAATGGATACAACTTGAGATCATGCTCAGGGGTAAAAAGGTTCAGAACCATTTAGCTAAATAGTGGGTTGCCTTTCTAATCTAAAAACTAAAGGAGTTAGTGGGGGTACAAAATGTACAATGCACCCTGTGAAAATGAAAGGGGAGGAACTGTCTAAAATGGGAAGGTAGAGGACATAGTTAATCATTATTTGAAACCCATATTGTTTTTATCACTCTGTTTAGTTTGGTTATATTCTGTTCCAGTTTGTCTACTTGTACTAGATTTGATGGCATAGACAGCTATTCCAAAGATAGCAGGATATACTATGGTAAACATTTTTAATTTCCTATTAATTTAATCTGAAACCCTGTATTGCTTTCACTGCCTTGTTTTGACTGATTTTATTCGAATCTGTTATGTTTGACAGTTTCAAGTCTGAGAATATAGGCAACTACTCTGAAGACAATATGGTTCACTATGATATTCATTCTCATTTGACTATTACCCTCTTTTGAAGTTCTATAATGCCTCCAATGTTTTGTTTTTATTGATTTTGTTCTGTACTGCTATGTTCCATTTTATTGTACCCAATGATATGGGTAATTCTATTGAAGACAACAAAAGACATCATGGTCTTTTGTTATCATTGTAGATCACCTTGTATTGTGGTTTTAAATTATGTACTATGTCCACCCTTTTGTTTTGAATAACTATTTTTTTCTCATTTGGTTTTATTCTTTTCAAAATAAAAAGTTGAAAAACAAAGTAGTTGCTCATATTACAAGATACAGACATGAGAAAATGATCCAACAATGGGGCTGGGGATTTAGCTCAGTGGCATAAGCGCTTGCCTGGCAAGCATGAGGTCATGAGTTCGATCCCCAGTACCAAAATAAATAAATAAATAAGTAAATAAAAAGATCCAACAATGAAAGCAAAACAGTTCTTTTTGATGAGCTAACAGAGATTAGTAATATAATTAGCTATCATAAAAATATGTACACATATATATTCTTTCTTTCCTCCTTTCCTCCATTCCAGTTGTGTTTTTCCTTTTGAGCAGTTTGTTCCTCTTTTCACTTTCACAGAAAATACGTATCTCTGATAAAAAAATTGAAATTAGCACATACTAGCAAAAATTACTTTGTGCTTTTTACTATCTTTTCTTTTTAAAGAATACTAGGTTGAAAACAACTCCAAATTAAAGAATGTAAACTAATTATGGCACAGAAAATTTGAAGGACTCCTAAGAAAATCACTTTGTAAATCAATTCCCTATTATCTTGTTTTGAAGTCCTGTATTATTTTCAGTCTTTTTTGGATTGCATTTTATTGTGTTTTGTTTCATTTGATTTTGTTATATCCAATGGCATGGACAGCTATTTCAAAGATAGCAAGATATATTATGGTAGCCATTTTGGATTTACTATTATCTTGTTTTGAAGTCCTTTATTGCATTCATTGTTTTATTTTTATGCATTGTATTCTATTCTATTTTGTTTGGCTTTTATTATATCTTATGGTATGGGTAGCTATTTTGAAGACAAGAGGCATTATGGTAACCATTATTGATTTTGTGTTGTTTTGAAGTCCTGTGTCTGGTTTGCTTTAAACTGGTTTGCTTTGATTGGCTTTATCCTATTTTATTTTGCTTGGTTTCATTTTCTTTAAATAAAAAAAATAGACAATGACCAAAACTAGCTTTAATCTAACTGAGGTAGCAGTCCTCAGGTATTCAAAGAGGCTTCACATTCAGTGAACATTTTCCAAATCAAGTCTGTCATGAGATCTTCTGAAATCTTTAAATTTAAAGTGTGTTTCTAAATGTTAGAGTTTGAAGGACTTAGAGTTGAAGATATCAGAACCCCAGATATCCAGTGTTAATAAAAGACATTAAATCTGAAAGAAATCAACAACTTTTTAAAGTTCAGTCAGCATGTTGATAGCATAACTTTCATTCTAGGTTTGGCCTATGGTCACTAGGTCAACTGCTACAGGACCAACGTGGGTGATGATTATGGTGCCACATTGCTATCATTGGACATCTTTGGGTGTGTACCCCCAAGAGCTCATCTTTGGAAGCATCATGCTCAGTGTGACATGTTTAAGAGGTACAGTATAACAGGAGATGATCAGATTATTGGGGACGTGCCCTTGAAATAGATTAATTTAATTCTTATGGGATTCCAGTTAGTTCTTGTGAAAAGAAATCCTTATAAATCTAGGTTGTTCAATGTACTTGTTCTTTCTGTGAACAGATTTTTACCTTTATGCTCATCCACCATGTTGTGATATAGGTTCCTTACTAGAGACTGAAGAGGTAGAGATGCCTGGTATACCTTCAAATATGAGATAAATCAGATATTTTATTACAACAACAGAAAATGAACTAATAGACATGCTTTATTCTATTTTTTAGAGGTAGCATAATAAAATTTCAGTTAAATTTCTCAGCACATTTTAAAATGGGGTTGATGAAAATAGATTTGAGTTTCCCTAGATAGAGATAACTAAATGCTAGCCTAGAAGAAAAAGGCTCAGAACTTGGAGTTGTTTTTATACTTTGGGTAACTAGAAGTTCTATAAATCCTTTGAAAGTCATGCCTTTGACTAAATCACTCTCATAGTTCCTTATTAGTTTTAGATTTTAAGGCTTATTCCTTACCAACTATTAGTTTGGTACTGACTTTCCCAGTAAAAAGGTTATTTTTATGTAACATAATTTTTGGTTAATGTTAAAATAAAAGTCATGCTTACTTTGGGGTGTAGTAAATATAAAGTAAGGGAAAAAATTATCTTGGCTATGAGCAGCCCAAAATATAAACTTAAAAAGCAAAATAGGAAAGAAAGAACACTTGACGCTTTCAAACTGTAACGTTTTATAATTAAATGGCAACTAATGGAATACAAATACCATACCTGATTTTTCCCTTAAGGATGAAGTTTTAAAAATTAAAATGAAAAGTGCTTACAAAAATTATTTTGAGAATTTCTCCTTTTTTTTTGTCTACTTTTTAATTTACTTTTCATTTTTCTGGAATGGAATTTACTCAACAGTATATTTTCTTCCCTTAATGTCATAGCCATACTTTAATATCTTTGTCTGTCTTATCTTTTTTTCATCTTGATAGCAAAGAGTGAAAAGTATCAAGAGATTTGCAACCACAGTTTGAGAGCTTCAACTCTTTCTGAAAAATTATTTCTCCATTGAAATCTCCTTTCTTTCTTATAAGCTTGTAGACGTGGGGTTCTCCTTGCTCTGTTCCAAGTCAAGGCGGCCCTCCTAGGCAGAGCTCTGGGGCTTTGGCACCCTCATGGCCCACCTTTCCTCTGCACAGAACTCCTGAGCCCTGGTGCAGGATTTGGGATGGAAGACTCTTTCTTGGAATGGTGCTGTCGCTCTTAGAGTGGGCACAAGGGAAGAGGGGACAGTTCTGGTCTCATCTTGCTCTTCCTGTGTGAAGTCTCTGTGCCGTGAACAAGCTGGAGGGGGAACCAGGCTCTACTGTTTCAGGCCACTGTTCCTGGAGTAGAGCTTCTACTCTGTGAGGGACTGGATAGGGAAAGAGGACCTGGCTTTCTCCATCACAGTCATCTGGAACAGAGCTTCTGCAATACAGTTTCAGGCAGGCTGGGGTGAGAAATACTGATAGTCGGGGTGAAACGTACCCTTAGGTTTCGAGGGAAGATGAACTCCTGTCTCTCAGGCTGTATGAGGTCTAGAGTGGAACGTGTGTGTAGGAGCTTCTATATACAAAGCTGGTCCTTTGGAAAAGGGAGCATGTTTCGATGCAAAGGCACCTTCCTCTGCTTGTTTAAAACTGAAATTCAGTAGATTTTTCTTTAACGAGTATTTCACCATTTGGTGCATGTTCTTAAGACAATTGAAATAATGTGTCCATATTGCCGACCCACAGTTTAACGGGATAATAAATATGTGTTTTAAGTTGCTGATTTAGTGGTAATTTTTAGATAACAGATGGGTAGTGATTAGGTAACTAAAGCATGCTTTTGAAAGTGCATTTTTTAAATTTCTACTTTTAAGTGAAAGATTTTAATTGGCTCTCTCTTTTTAAATGATCTTTATCAGTTAAATTACTTTTTCCTCTGGGGAGAGCCTGTTGATTTCCTTATACCAGTATCTTAGAAGTATAGTCTTGAGGCATTTTTTTAAAGAGAAAAAAAGAAATAGAGATAACAGTAAAACAGAGTTTCAAAACAGGCTAATAAAATAATAACAATAATATAAAATAGTAACAATAATACATTGTGTATTGTTATCTTCATAGTAATTACTCAGAGTACAACAAGATACAGGCATGAAATACTGTCCAAACAATATTATTATTATTATTTTAGATATTGTGTGGTTTCTCTTATATGAAAAATCCAAAATATAAGTAAATTAAAGAGCAAGATATAAGATAGATAATAGCAAACAGGCAGGTAGGCCTTTTGTAAATGGGAAGGGGATCGAGAGATGGTAGGAGGAAGGGAAGAGAGGAAAAAGGATGAAAAAATTGAAATGTTTATGTATGTGTGCCCACTCCCCACGAGGAACGTGATTATTATGCAATGCAAACAGGTACAAATAAAA